CTTTGCGGCGTGCTTGGGCATATTTGGACTCAAGAGCAGCAATGTACAGGCTGATACGCTCTCCTGCAATTTCTTGGGAGCGATGAAGCAGAACATGATTGCATAATTGAGAGGTGTGAAAACCATTCGAAGACATATCGCGTCATTTGGAAGCTAGAGGCTTGAGCGCCTTGAGGCGGCTAAAGTTCGATGGTTCTCGCTATGGTGTTGAGTCAAGCTCACGTGACATTCTCTTTCCCCCTTTTTTTTTGAGGGATTAGAGATGTTTTTGGACTGATGTAGCTAGATGGGTCTGGGTACATGAGACACTATTTCTATTCTTTTTGGGTTGATGTCTCTGTGCTGACTCATATTGAGTTTCTAGTATAGAGCTCCCACTTGCAGGTGTTCTCAGCGGTCGCACGGTGCATTGGCTAGTATGAGATTGTTCGTTTTTTGGGGAGATTGAGATAGAGATGTGGCAATGTCATGCCAACTCATGTGCGAGTGGGAGATGTTAGTAATGGGCGCCCATGTGGCATGACCATTAAATTTGAATTTGAATCCTTATTCAAATAGGTTTTGAATTTGAAATCAAACCTATTTAGGATAACCACTCAATATACAGATATTATCAGTTTTAACTGATATGGATAGATATAATAATATATTATATATCTGATATATGGTTATGGGTAATCAAGTGAGAAACAACGTATAGTCTGTTTCTACCCATATACTGACTCTCTCCCAAAAAAAACAACGATCAAGTCTTTGCACTGTGATTTTGTGTGGGTGATATTCAATCTGTGATATCACTCCACTGCTGGGTTGATTTATCAGTTTTCTGGAAGCACGTGATTTATCCAAGAAGGTTCTATCATCAAGAAGGTATGATCTGATTATTTTATCCGCTGGCATATTCTGTGTTTTTAGTTTATATCATGCACACAGAATATCTTGAGCTCAACTCATTTGCTAGATAAACCAGATCGAGCAAAATTTTTAGGTTTTTTTAGTAATTAAGTCAAGCTCAAGTATAGATTTATGTTCAGCTCAAATATGCTCGTGAACAAAAGGATATAAAATTATTTTTTAACTTTAACATTATACCAATTATTTTATTTTATTTCTTTGTTTACTGATATTTCAATGATGTTTAGTAGTTGTGTAAATTTACATTAATTGATTGATGAAATTTATTAATAATATGAGCATTCTTTTTATATTTTGTTCATAATCTTCTCTTTTTTCTCTTTATGTGCATGTCATGTTAATTTAAGTTTGATTTTTCCTTTCAAGCTTGAGCTCAGGCCTTCTATGTAATCGAGTTGAGCTCAAGTTTCTCAAATGTTGGACGAGCTAAACTCAAACTCACTTCTTTAAGCTCGACTTGAGCTCGGCTCGAGCTTGACTAATTTGTAGCGAAATGGGCTTGAACGCCCGAAAGCTTAACTTGTCTATTTTGCAATCTTAAATAAACAAGACACGAGTTCCACTTATGGAATTTCTTGATGTACTATATATAATTTGGAAAATTAATACAGAATATAGGTCAAATAAAATGTTTTTAGTGCATGTGCTTTCTCTCTGCTATTTTCAGATTGACTGTAATCTTAAGGTATTTGAATTGATTGACAACATTTGGAGTCAATCGGTTCTAAATTGAAGTACTAATTTTTAAATATTCAGTATTTTATATTCATGTTATGATCTTGTATTAAGATATGTGTAATGAAATTGAAAGTATTTGTTGAATAGCTTGACATACATTGTTGAGCCCATTTTCTAATAGTTTAAGTTTTGGGGACAATTGGTGACTTAATAGTATTAAAGACAAGGTTGGTTTGCTTCGGAGAGGTATGAGACATGAAGGCAGCCATCAGTGCCGTGATGAAGGAATTTGTTGACAAGAGGCAATGGCTATTAAGAGCAACATTTCAAAAGGCAAAAACCCTTTCAGATATTGGTTGAAGCTTTTAGAATCTTAGATGTTAAAGTGATAGGGAATATCTCAATCAACTGTTTCCTACCCAAATGTAGCTTTTTAAAGAATGATATGTTATGTTAGTACAACAGTAGAAGTGTTTCTTCATTTCATGCAAGTATTCAAACTATCTTTACCATCATAAATTTTTTTTGCCCTTTCATCACTCCTTAATAATTGTGAATGCTTTTTTAATCGCTACTTAATTGTGCTTTCAATCACTTTCAAAGAAAATACAGATCATTTGAATTTGTTGGGCTAATAATTTATCGTATATGGCTTCACTTTAGCAGCTTCAACATCTGGTATCTATCCAGGGCCGTGAATCATTCACTTCATATGAAAGTCTTGAGCAGCTTCACCATTTCTTGTTTGTTCTTGGTGTTACCCATGTATCATATAGCTTTTTCGCCATTGCCCTTGCCATGATCGAAGTAGGTACTTCTTTTTCAAAATGTATTATCTTTCTATATCTTTGGAACTTATCTTTTCAAGAGTGCCCTAAGATTTTTCTTCTGGTACATGCAGATTTATAGCTGGAGAACATGGGAAAATCAAGCAAAGTGGTGCGAAAAGTTTTATAGGGGGTGATTTTGTTCTTCTCTTTTCTAACGTACCATTTATCTTTTAAGAGTTTAGTTCAGATGTTCTTCACTAGAAAATTTCTATCATGCCATATTAAAATTTTAATCTAGGTTCTCTGCCTCAAACCACACAAAAATGAGGCAACAATCAACTTTCATTTTTCACCACACATGCCATCCGTGGAGCCAGCATGGAGCTCTTGTTTGGCTGGTAATGCATCTTTTTCAATTCTTGTGTCTTTGAGACGTGAAAATATGAATTTTTTTCTTTTGTTATTTATCTATTCAATTGGGAAATGAATTTGATGGTATACGACTAAATATCCTAAAAATGTGAAAATGCGGCTCAAGTAATGTTTAGCTGAGGGCAAGCTTCCAGTTGCTTTAGGGTGGTAAAATGAATATGAAGCCTAAGAGAAGTTGTAGTTGCTGAAAGGGGACCTAGGGCATTCAATATGAAAGGATAAAAAGGACTTCTTGTTGTAAATATGATCATATTTCTTGAAAAGGAAAAGTAAACGCACTTCGTTAGGTAATGACCACAAATGGCTTAGATGATTAGATAAGAAAGATTAGTGTACCATGCGGATAAAATCATCAAAAAATGAGTAGGATATGGTTTGTGGTTCCCTTGAATTTGAATGGCTCTGTAGGCTTGTTAGATAAAATTTAAGTAAAGAATATTATCTTATTGAATAGAACCCTCGGGAAAGTAGATAAATTCTCCACAGTTTTAGATGCGTCAGTGCTTTCCAGTTTTCTTGGAATTACAGAATTCAATATCTATGTGGAGTAAATAGGTACTAATAGTGTCTTCTATTCAACCTGGAGTAGTTCTTTATGAGAGAGCATTTTTATCCCCCTCACATTTAAGTATATGCAAAGTGCCCTCAAGTAGTTTTGACTCATTGCCCAACCATGAGAGGGTACAAGGCATTTGCATTTACAAAGGATCAAATTGATACATTATATATACATATATATCATATATGTGTGTATATTTTCACTATTTAGCTTATTGGTGAATTAATTTTGGTTGAATATTACATTGAGGAGGAAAAGAATATTACAATGGTGAGGCTATGCCCATGGCCTTGTGGCCTAATGGCATGGAAGCAGCACTTAAGTACTTGCAAGGGAGAGGTTGGGGATTCAATTTCTCCTTAAGCTAATTTAACAACAACTAATTGACTTTTGTTGATAAATAAAAAATAAAATTAGAAAAAACAATGGTGAGGGTATAAAAGTTGATTTGCATTTTGCATTAACAACGGTAACTATGCACTTGAGGCCCAAACCATGCCAAGTTGAATTGCATATTTTTAAATAAAAGGGGAGTGAATTATTGTGGAGCCAAACCACGTGACAAACAAAAAGAATTTTGCCCTAATAATAAAGGTTTTTTCCCTAATGATTAATGTCATAATATAGTTTAGCCTTACCAAACAATAGGTTATCACATATAGATTGTTAGTGTATTATAGTGTTAGTGTAATATAGTGTAATATATAGCTGTCATACTAATGATGTTGTATCTTTATGCTTTCGTGGGTTAGCATCCAATGTACCCTATTTACTCTCTATAAATGAGAGTATTGTAAATCACTGATATACATCTATCAATATACAATTGTTTCTCTCTCTCTAATCACTTCCACAAAATAGCCAAATGGACTGATATTTAAATTTAACAGCTAATAGCAGCACTCTAATAAAAACAAATCCAGAAGTAAGGCTGCATTAGGTAGCATGTCCATGCATTGAATTTGTAATAAGAGGACATTTTAGTTATAATTTTGAACTAATATGGCTTCTATTTCCAATTCCAAGGCATGCGTTCCACAGTGCCAAACACAAACTTAATCCAATTATGAGCACACTCAATTTTCCCATAATAAATTCGCAAAAGACAACTTTTCATTAGCCACAGCTCCACAAACAGGAAGTCAATAGAAGCACATCCTGGAAAATGAAGGCCAATGAGCAAATAATTGCATGAAACACAGGAGACAGTGATCAGCGATCAAATAAAGCCGAAATTTCATGCGGAATGATCTTCAACAACAAATTTACATTGAAATTAAACCCTAATCATGAAATGATTACTTCCACAAGCCAGGTAACGAAATTTTCACATTCCTGCCCAGAAAAAGAAGAAAAAACCAAGAAAAATGCTACCAAAATCAATATTCCAGAAAACTAAATGGGAAATTACACCAAAATGGAATACATAAAAGAAAAAAAAAATTTATTCATGAAAAAGTATACAATTTTAATTATTAATATTTATAAAGTTTCTTCTCACTGATTTCATTTTTTCAAAATCCCACTGATGTGATATTCCCCGAAAACAAAATGAACTCAGAAAATCCCAAGTGATCTCATTGGTATGGGCTATTACTGATAAACCCTAATCATAGGAAATTGTTTGATTTTAGTGATCCAAACAGAAAAACACGTTCTTGATCTCGAATTCTTAATCAAACCCTAATTCAGGGAGACCATGAGTACGGTATATGAAACTGATATTTTGATAACAAAAAAAAACAAATATAGTTATACGCTACATGGACAAATCGAACAGCTTTGGGTTGACAATTCAGAGCAAAACAAACAGTGTTTTTGTGGAAGATGAAAAGGAATTGGTGATGGAGAGAGGGATCGCCTTCTGATCCGAGGACAATTTGGGAGCTTATGAAAGGCTTTGACTGAGAGAGAGAGAGAGAGAGAGAGAGAGAGAGAGAGAGAGAGAGAATGCTGCAGTTTCAAATTTAAAGCAAAATTGAAAGAAGAGTACGATGTATAGCAGTTATTGGTTTTGATTCATTAAAACTGAGTTGGATTATGTGGCATTTTTGATCCTTCTTCAGTAATTGGAATTGCTTATATTTTAGAATTTGTTAAGTATATTATTTTTATAAAAAATTATGTAAATCGAATAACAGATATTACGTATTCGGATCATTTTTTTATTAATCGTTAATTTTTTGACCATCTATTTTTTCTAGACAAAAGTGATCCGAATATATAGTATCCGTTATCCAATCGACGTGACTTTTTACAAGAATAATAGACTCAACAAATTTTAAAATGTAAACGGTTCTGATTATCAAAAAAAGGTCCAAAAGTGAGCCCAATGTGCCGAACTCGATCAGATTATCCTAGATCTAGACTGCAGATAGTCCGGACCTTTTTTTTTAAAGGAGATTTTTTTTTTTTTCTCTTTTTTAAGGAGGAATTATATGTATGCGGGAGAAAAGAAAATATTATTAAAACATAGGGGTATAAGTGTATTTGCAATAAGATGTAAATAAAAGAGTGTGGAGTAATTCTATTTCCACATACTAAATTTCTCACGTCACACACTTAATGAATTTTTTCAAAATCACATTTTTATCCTTTAATTAAATTATCATTTAGAACAAATCTTTATCTTTTTCTATTTTCCCAATATCAACTGTCGAACGGATCTAGGATTTGCAAATGTTGGGTTCATGACAATAAAAAGATTTGTAGAGGTTGGAATAGTGGCGAAGAAGATCGTAGAGGTTAGGGTTTTGAAAAAATAGTGGGTAGCAAGGGTATATTAGGATAGTTTAGGCTAAAGCGGGGATGGACGTATCCGTTATCCAATCGACGTGACTTTTTACAAGAATAATATACTCAACAAATTTTAAAATGTGAACGGTTCTGATTATCAAAAAAAGGTCCAAAAGTGAGCCCAATGTGCCGAACTCGATCAGATTATCCTAGATCTAAACTGCAGATAGTCCAGACCTTTTTTTTTAAAGGAGATTTTTTTTTTTTCTCTTTTTTAAGGAGGAATTATATGTATGCGGGAGAAAAGAAAATATTATCAAAACATAGGGGTATAAGTGTATTTGCAATAAGATGTAAATAAAAGAGTGTGGAGTAATTCTATTTCCACATACTAAATTTCTCACGTCACACACTTAATGAATTTTTTCAAAATCACATTTTTATCCTTTAATTAAATTATCATTCAGAACAAATCTTTATCTTTTTCTATTTTCCCAATATCAACTGTCGAACGGATCTAGGATTTGCAAATGTTGGGTTCATGACAATAAAAAGATTTGTAGAGGTTGGAATAGTGGCGAAGAAGATCGTAGAGGTTAGGGTTTTGAAAAAATAGTGGGTAGCAAGGGTATATTAGGATAGTTTAGGCTAAAGCGGGGATGGACTAAGAGTAGTAGTGGCAATGGAGGGCCAAAAGTGATGGTGGTGGTGGCGGCAACAATGGCAACATCAACGGTAGCGGCAGCGTTCCAAGTTTTCTAGAAGAAGAAGAATAGGTCGATAAAATATAAGTTAGGATTTTGAAAATAAAAGATAAGGGCATTGTTGGAATGAAGACATGTGTATTGAGAATATTTTTATTTTTGATGTGAACTCTGAGAAAATATTCATTAAGTGTATGTCCTGAGAAAATTTAGTGTGTGGAAATAGAATTACCCAAGAGTGTGGGGTGCAACTGTCACTTATACTTCTCTATGTATTGTTTTTTTTTTTTTCCTTCTCTCACCTACATATAATTCTACCATTTTTCTTAATATTCTAAAAAATAAACTAAAGCAATTTATTTTTAAAATTATTTATCAAATTAATCGCTTTTTTAACTTCATCACATTTTGAACTTATAATTTTAAAAAATCAAGTTAATTTGATAAATAATTTAAAAATTTTATTATTTACATACATAGTTTAATGAATACGTGAAGATTCAATTTCATTATTATGAATTGGATTTTGAATTTTTGTTTTTTAAAAAGTCAATTAGTTGGTTAAATAGTTTGAAAAGTAAAAATATTTTTATTTTTTGAAATATTCAAAAGAAGAAAAAAAACTCAAAATTTTTTTTTTATGGCGTTATGCTCATTTTTTGTTTTTTAGTAAACAAAATTATATTATTATTTGGGTAAATTACACTTACCTCCTTGAGGTTAAAAAAAATGGAGGTTTTATTCAGACACCATTAATCTTTTCAGTACGCACTATTTAACTATTAAATTTATATAATATTAATATTTTCAAGTAAGATGACTATTAAGGACAATATAGGTATATATGTACTCATTCAAATAATTTACATATGAAAATACAAATCTCTCTTTATACACCATCATCTATGCACTATATCTTTTGGAACAAATCTCTCTTCCAACACTCAAACCTCTCTTTACATACTATCATCTATACACTATATCTTTTGGAACAAATTTCTCTTCCAACACTCATCCAATAATGTTAGAAATTGGGCGCCCATGTGGCATGACCCTTTGAACCTGAACCTTTTGAATCTTATCCATGTAAGTTTGAATTTGAATTCAAACTTATTTGGATAACCATTTAGGATATCTATATCTATCATATCAATAGATATGGATAGATGTATAGATAGATATTGGTTATATATCAGATTATACAGTTGTCTAACATATTGATATCAGATACGTCATGTGATTTTTACTCATAACCTTTTCTCTCTGACTCTCTCCCATTAAACAGCGATTAAGCCATTTTGCACTGTGACTTGTGTGGGTGATATTCATTTTGTAGTATCACTCTACTGCTGGGTTCGTTGTTCGGATTCTGGAAACACGTGATTTACCCACGAGGTTCTATCACCTAAAGGTATGATCTAAATATTTTTCCCACTGCGTTATAATACTTCATGATTTACATTGGTATCAGAGCCAAAATGGGTTTTTTCGGGCTTATTTTTTTATGCATTAAAATATGTGTATATTTTTATATAAATATATATACTCATTAGATGCATGAAAATTAATGGAGGAAGATGAAGTGCATGGTTTCTGCACTTCCACTCTCATTAGATTGAGAGTGTAAAAAAAAATATATCATTTTTATGTTCATTAAACATCTTTTTTAATGCCATAAATGTATTTATTTTGGAAAATGAAGTTCGGGAGTATCGAAATTAGACCAGAAAACACCCCGGAAGGCGGAACGTGTTCCTCACGCGCCAAATGACGCCGTCAGCGGCCGGCACGCGCCTCCACGCGCTCTCACGTTCTAAGACGCGCCTTCACGCGCTCTCACGCGCTGAGACGCGCCACCACGCGCTTCCAGCGTGATGGCCGCGTTTTCATGCACGCGCGCGCTGAGCTGCTGAGCCGCCTCTGAGCTGTGCCATTTTTTCTAACGCCGGCTTGGCTGCTGATGTTAAGGGTCTGTTTGTTTTGTTTTAAATTCTGAATCGCGTTAAATGGTCATAATTAATTCGTTATATCTTTGTTTTAAGCGTGGTTGGGACCGTTAGACTCAGAATTAAATTTTCTATCTTATGTAAAATTTTCAAAATTTTATGAAAATAAAAAATATTTTTCCTGAAATAATAATTCATTATTTCTGCTTTAAAATGCATCTGGTGTTGCATGATTAAGTTTCTGGGGCTGAATTTTTTATTGTAGACTATTGTTGTAGTTTACTATTTACTGGTATGGTTATTGCATTTTACCAGATTCTGGAATATTTATTTCTAATTTTATGTGTGTTTATTAGTTATTTAAATTTTCAAAAATTTTCAAAAATTTTCAGAAGTGATATACTTTCTGTTATGGCATAATTTGAATATTAAATACAGCATATTGTTGTTTTTTGCCTAGAGTTTCTAATATGTTGTAATTAGAATAGCATGATTAATTGTTATTTGTTTAAATTCCATTATTAATATTGACATAGCATGAGTTGGTTGTGAATCTATATTATGATGCTATTGTATGGAATTAGGATTTTTTTTTATCATGCTTTTAGACATGCCATAGTCAGTGGGAGGTTATTCGGTTGAGAGAAATCTTTGTAGATTAACTCTCGAAAACCAATATTTTGCGCATAAATTAAATTGAATTTTAGATAATTGTCACCTGTGGCGCAAGAGATGATTACCAGCATAGCGGATTTTCGATCTTGCGACTTGTGTAATATTGTCACTATTTAATTTAGATTTTTGCGGCAAAATTATATTATGCTAATCAAATTAATCCCAATGCGAATTTCTCTCTAAATTGACTTAGCTTATGGAAGTTAATTTGGTTGACCTAAACTTAGTAAAGATGTTCAAATGTGAACAATGTAATTCTATTCTTTAGATGAGCAAAAGTCTTGGAGACTTTAGGTCAGACCTTAATTGAGCCAAAGTAAGGAAACATGACTCAAAGTCGTCGTGGTTTTTTTTTTTTTTTTCGTTGCCTTGTTTGGTACAATAAAAACTAATGTGCGTGCTATGATTAACGGCACGCTACGTAGTTTTGATTGGCGAGTTTTGGAGTTATGCAATTAGTAAGCCCTCAATAGCTCTGTATATGATCTTGACTATTGAGCTGCGCAGATTGACTTTGTAATTTGACTTGTAAATAATGTTACATCATTGGATGAAGTAACATTCAAGAGCCACGTCATCCAAGAAATGCGAGCTTAAATAAAT